GGAGTTCTCATTGATTAGCCCAAATGCCGTCTGTGTCCGCCATCTTGGATTTGTTGCACGTCTGGACACGTTCGTTAAATTGTGGCTATTATCGACAAACGTAGCCGTGGAGTCTAACCCACCTATCCAACTCCAACTGCGAGAAATCACGCAAAGTTGGTTTTCATTGCATTATTGTCCTATCTTGGCGCTTGAGCCTGAACCTTAACAAGCTTAGGTCGCAATGGCCCCACCGAAGTCTCGCCGTATTCGGCAAGCTAAGCGTAGTGTACTTTTCACGTCACCAGCAAAGCGAATAAAATGCGAGGCCCCAAAAGAAAAGCGCATTTGTTTTTCTGGTAAAAGTATACTCATTGCAGAACTAAGTGGTAAATTGCTTTTTTGAACCACAACTTTAATGAGGTGAGAAAAACGCTGACACTCTTTGAACCCCTCAAAGATCACCAGATTACGCTTGACTACATCAATAACCTATTGGAGAAGTATAATCCTGTTCTAATGGGAAAAACTAGTCAGTTAATTGTCTCCGTTGCCTCTGAAGTGTGCGAACGAATATGTAGAGCAAAAATGTGCTTGTTTTTAATGTTCCGGACAGGTTGGGTTTGGATAAAGTAAAACTAACGATACTGAAAGCTTGTAACATGTCTAACGTTGACTGCAAATGCCAATGTTTAAAATAGAAGACACCGAAAATTGTCGTCCGATCATTTTCAGCTTTTTGAGCGAGGAAGTCGCGCAGCGATTCCTCCATTGTGGACCCCATCCTAGGCCAGTGTAGCCAATTTAACGACATTTTGAGTAAACCAGATAGGACATCCCTACAAACGTCCGAACTTAGCACTGTGCCACGAACACCGGAAAAAATAACTAGGCTCTGAGAAATCTCAGCCAAACGTCCGAAAGACCCGTGCATCCATGGTGGATACTAGATGCATTGATTTAGACATCGATAATCTAAAATGGTTATCAACTACCTCCAAAGCCGTCCTTCCTTGCTCCACTGAAACACCGTCTACACAAGGAACGGATACCTTGCACCTTACCTAGAGAGATCTTAAACAATCTCCCTGGCAGTGACCATAACATGATCCGACTCAGTTTCCAAATTAAAATGGTCACTAGACTCGCCTCTACACCGCCAGTTGTAACCCATAAGAATGCTTATCAGAAGTTTTGCGATGCTTTCAGCAGTTCATTCCTTTCTCCGACTGGGATGTATTTTTTCTCTCTACCAGTGTGTACACTGCTGTGGAACAGTTCTATGAACAAATCCATCGCGCTATAGCCCTCCTTGCTCCACAATGTATTGATACCCCTCATGGGTCCAAAGATTTCGTCGAGCACTTAATCAGCAAGAAAACCGGAAAGTTAGCTGTAACATACAGAAAGACCCATGACTTTTCACTTGTCTTACAAATGCACAAATTTACCACCAGAGTCAAACATGCACAATTAACACGACGGAAAAATGAGGAACTTACAGCCCTACGGACAGGCTGCAAAGCTAGGGAGCTTGTCAAAATACTGTATCGTAGAACCAGTGGCCGCTCTCCTCTGAGTACAGAAATTCCATGACCCAGCTGAAATCTGTGAAGCCTTCAGTGACTTTTTTGCCACTACCATGAGTCGCGAAGCTGACCCGGTGCCTGCGTGCGTATAGCTCACAGTAACAAACCTCTTAAGCAGAGTCGATATCTCACTCAACGGTATCCATCAAGTTATCAAACTAATCAGACTATCTTCCAAGCTGGGATCTGATGGCATTTCACCAACCACCATTAAACTAGGACCTGATATACCATTGCTACTGATGAGCATGTTCACTCTATCGCTGGAATCTAGTTACTTTCCAGACCACTGAAAAACTTGATTATGCCTCGGCATAAACGCGATCGCAAACAAATGATTGTTAACTACCGACCAATCCAACACACTCCGATAATCGCTCGGCTATTTGAAAAACTGGTCAGAAAGGAGCTGATGTACTTTGTTGATCCTATTAGCCTGATCAATAATTCGCAACATGGTTTTCTTAATAAGCGATCGTGCACCACCTGTCAACTGCATTACCTTAACCACATTTCAGAATCAACCTATTCCGGCTATGTAGTAGTAATCTTATTTCTTGACATATACCAAGCGTTCGATCGAGTAGCGCACAAGCGACTGCTACAAAAGTTGGAGAACTTTGAGATCCGGGGCCCATTACTAGGTTGGCTATCGTCATACCTGAGTGGTCGCTTTTCGTGACTATCGCTCTTCTCCACACTCAATCACCATTGGGGTCATTCAAGGGAGCGTGCTCGGTCCTTCACATCTTTTGCTCTACATCAATGACATTGCATCATCTGTAAAATGTGGTACGTCATTTTTATTTGCTGACGATATCGAAACCGTCTATAAGCTTCAGTATAACTAGCTTCACGAGACGCTACTGCTCATTCAAGATGGCTTACATTCCCTTGAGTCATGGTGCTGCACATAGGTGACGAACCTCTCGGCTAAGAACTCAAACATCATGTCTTACGGCTGCTGCATCCCCAAAGGATCTATCACCCTAAACGATGAACGCGTCCCTACACAGTTGTCCACGCGAAATCTTTGAATTAGATGCTCGTCTACCTTCAATTTATCCGAACAGACCAAATACCAAGTAGCACGTGCCAAACAGTCTATGTTCAATATATCAAACAAAATACGCACAACTCATGCTAGAGTTGAGCTTTTCAAGCTATTCACTCGCCACATTCTGGAATACTGCAGCATAATATACCGCAATATGAGAAAGAGTGACAGAATTGCTGTGGAACACGTGCAGAGATCATTTACTAAACATCTAATTGGTAAACACTCAGCAATGAGTTATCGGGAAGATTGCGATGAACTTCATCTCAAACCACTTTGGATTCGGCTATTGAAGCACAACTTGTCGCTGCTTTCCAACGTGCTACGCAAAAGCATCTATCCCAACCTGCCTACCCTCAATTTGCAACGTTGCTCAACTCGAACACTTCGCAACAGAGATTTTACACTGAATATACCGAAGGCTAGAACGAACGTTCGCTCTAATTTCTTCCTGGAATAAACTACCAATAACACTCAGATCATGTGACAATGTGGCAACATTTAGCAGCAGACTCGCCAATTACCTTGATCTAACTACCATGATCTCTATATTCACATGGGAAAAATCCCTCGATGAGCTATTCCAAGTGGGGCCCAGAAAGATATAAACACTAATGTTCCCATAACTAGGCTCTGGTCTCAATCATCCGCCAGAATATTAATACATGAAACGCATGTGCTAATACTCCACCTATGCATGTCACCCATGCAAGAACATGGATACTTCTGTGCCGCTATAGACAGTTTCTTTCATCAAGAGAATTATACGTATTATTATGAATATTATTATTATAGTCATTTTCTGCACCACCGCGTGTCCTTTTTCCTTCAATCTTCGTACCTACCATTGTAGATGGCTCCTTTACTTTTGGACTTCAACAACGTCATCACCACTGTTAGGGAAACCATTTGGTGGTGTAGTTCACTTCAATTGAGCTTATTTCAGAATTCCTTTTCAATAAATCGCTATCCGTCTAGACCGAACCCACGTACAGTGGTAGAGTGTGCAAGCAGCCGTTATTATGGTTATATGGCAGCGCAGCGAAAGCAACAAGGACTGGCGCACCTCCCAATAATAGTAATAATACTCAATAGTATGGTTTCTCTCTCCTTGTATTTGATCCACTCTATTAGAATGTATCTGTGAGACGAGTTTGTCAGCGACTTGAAACTTTGGGCACCGTGTTAATGTTTCACAGACCGTCTGGCCTTTTGCTAGAGGCATCTCTGATGATTGTGCGCTGATCCTCTCCTGTTGGCTTCTCAATGCAAAACCATTATCCGCCTTTCCCTTGCACTTCCCTTCGATTCCCTCTGAGGTAGTATGGAATATTGGTGCGTTACTGGTATTGAGGGCAATGGTATAGCATACCTACTTGTTGCGTCATAATGCGATAGCCACTAGGAACAGAGCTTTTCACACTTTACCCGTCTTCATTATTGAGGCGATCAGCACTACTTGTCCTAATAGAGTTCCATCTATCAAGTACAATATCTTGTTTGGATTGTGCACACCGAGGGATTCAGGATACAGGCGGCAAGCACACTTCAAATTAACATTTCTGTGGTATACCAATTAATGACTTCAGACACTACAGGCTGTGTCCAGCAGCGTTTGTATTGTTGGTCATCAGCGGTATCTCCTCTCTTCAAGCCACCGTCTGAAGCAAGCGTACCAACAAGGGTGGACTACCCTCTCTTCGCTGTTCAGTATACAACTAAATGCCGTAAGCAAACACAGTTACAATCAGCTGTTTATCATTATAAGGCAAGGCGCGGCAGTTTCATTAGAGCGGCGCGCCCACCATAATCTCGTGCATCAGAAGCACACTCATCTCTTCGGTCATCAGCACAGAGACTGTTTGTCATGTCTGATGTTGCTATTGACATTTGCAGAATGTCTTTGTGACCACCTTGTTTGTATGCTGACGTACTATTGCCTTGTTACGATCACGTTCTTAGCGCCCCACATTGGCCGTAAGGTAATATAACATCACAACGAGCCACTAAGCTCACCGAAACCCTGGTTCTCATTGCGACCTGGCATCATGTAACTGGCACAATTTGGGCTTCCTATTTGCCGCTTGTTTGCTTTTTGTCTTTATTCTCTCTCTCTCTCTCTTTGATGAGTTGGGACTTGGTAACCGAATACATCGCACGATAACTGCCAAGCTTAGCCCCCCGCAGGTTACAAAACCGCGGATTCTCATGGATTGCTTCATACATCTAACCCTATTGAAATTAGGCCTTAGTTGGTATCTACACACTTTCCTTTGCATCGAACTTTGTGCGTTGCCAATTTTTCGGTTTCAGGCTACCTGTGTATTCCAGCTTTTCACTGTGCCTTTTCGTTGCATCGTTTTCTTCCTCACCAGGACCAAGTTCTACGAATTCGATCTGAAACCCGTCTGTAAGACCTGTTATGAATTGTTTCCCCTGGAACTACGAAAGCGTACCGCCAAAATGCACAAAATGGAAGGATAATTCATTTGGAAATTTCCATTTCTATCAGCTTTTATGTCAGTTGCGGACAAGTGCTTGTTGTGCTTCCAATTCGCTGGTGCAACATTTCACTTCTTAGTTTTACTATGAAACATCATGCAATTGCCCAACCTGGTTTTTGCTTTTCTCTGTTAGAACCGCTTCCATGTAAATTTTGTAATCTAATTGCACATCTGTCGCTTTGGCCTTGTTTTCTTGTGATATCCTTGCGAAGATCTTCCATCGCTTTCTGCCTGTTGTTTCTATTTACTTGACACTTTGATCGTCTGTCCAACCATAGAAAGCCCACCTTTCACAATGCTTCTCCATGCTGGATATTTGCATCCCGTCTTTATTTTATTTCTTTACTTGTTTGTACGAACTGTGCTATCTTAAATTGCTTTCATTTTATTCTGACCTACTGCGATCTGATACGTGCATTTTTTTAATTAAATGGCCGATGAATCTTTTATTCTATTTTGAACATGAGCATTTTCAAGACCTACTACTCTTCTTAATTTCGCGGAGCTATTTCGCTAACATATTCGTTTTTCAACTTGAAAATGGTTCTTGTTCGCATCAAATAATAGGTTTAAGGTCCTTTCCCAGTCATTCACTTCACCATTGGTTTCCCGCTTGATTCCACTCTTCGAGCATAAATGATCGAACCGAGGGCTTGATTTTGGGTGCACAGTGCGTCACAATGCGTTGATGCTCGAGATTCACCACAAACTGAATCACTGTTTAATGTCTGACTTACATTATCATTGGGTTCAAAGATGCACTAGATCGTTGCCAAAGCGCAATCGTTCTCTGAATCGTGTGGCGGTCGAATGTAAATCCAACCACATTTTTAACTGCTGCACAGATTTTGTCTGCACAATTGTTCTTGCGGGACATGATATCGTTCGTGCGATCGTGGTTCCCTCGCGTTGCCCGTCTCATTGACTTCCAGTCCATTGCCATTGTTCACTAGAACTACTATCACATTGCTTAAGCACTCATAGAAAGACGACTTGTCTGAATGGTGTTTGATCGTTTATTTGCGCGCCAAAATGACAAATGTAACAAATGCTTGGAAAACGGGCGTGATAATACAACTCAAAGCAGGTTCCAGACAGGTCAACCCATTCTGCCTTGGATAACTTCCCTGTTGCGTTTATAAAGAAGACAATGGATTCCACTTAGCACCCGTTGATCAGAGCAATTGTAGGCTATCTAGAGTGAATACGGTTTACACAATTTTAACTGCCACGAGTTCACGGAAACCACCCTTGGTATGAACCGCCTTTTATGCTATTCCAAATTGTTTTGGTGCTCCATCACCGCTTGCTCCGCAATTTTTCACTTATCAAACGTATACTTCTGTCAGTGATGCCTCATGCTGATACATAGATATATGGTTGGCGGCATCCGGTTTTGCCTGTCACTTCGCCCACATGACGCTGCGCCTACAGAGAGACTGTAGGTGGCTTGCGCTGCACCACCCACAACTCCATCCACACCCCCATATCCAGTGTAAACCCGAAGAAATAAGCCCGGGAGGCATGCGGATGGGAGCCACGTTTCATCAATGTAGCTGGCCTACACTCCTTCAATATGCACAGCAGTAGCATACCTGTCTATCGATTTAGGAACTCGTGCGTACCAGGCGTACACAAGGCGGTGGCTGGGACGTTGTCTGCTCCACACTTTGAGCCTAGAACGATCAGGAGGACCGTGCACCCCATCACATCAGCAACGATTCACCGTCTCTTGGAGCCAGTAATCGAGGTGGAAGATGTTAGACAGATAGGCTCCTTGTCAACATTCACATAAAGCGCAGCCACACCGGGGATATCAAATACCCAACATAGATAGAATTTAATGGAAAGCAAACATCATCAGTACACTTCAGCTGAGGGTGAGAAACACACCTCAGCTAATGTGCCGCAATACAAAAAGATAAAATAACCAATTGCACCACACAGAAATATGATGTTATGTTTTGCGTTTTGTATGAGATCGGGATTGGAGGGGGGAACCTGAGGGGAAGCAGATGGACAAAAAAACAACACAAGCGCCATTCGGACCGGCTCTACGCCATATCCACAATTGTGTCCAACCAAACGTGTTCATCGTCTTTAGAACCCCAGTCGGGCTGCACCAACCGAGGGTTTTCATTCCTCTCTACCAAGTCATCGCTTGGCCTCCTCTTCCAACCGCACTCCCGGCGCGCAAACGATTCACGTCGCAGGAGTCGGTGTGCTGGCATGCGTAACACGTGGCCCAGCCATCGGAGCCTGGTGCGTGGTATAATGATGCTGAGCGGTTCACTTGCTCTTGCTGCACCAAATACGCAGTCCTCCCAACAAACATGAGCTAGGCAGCGATGATCGAACGTGACTAGCCTCTTTATATCTGTCAAGCTGATGGGCCAGGTTTCACAACCATATAGGAGAGTTGAACGGAAGACTGCGTTCTAAATTCATACCTTCATGGTGAGAGTGATGTCGCGTCTGCGCCACAGGTGGCGGAGATTGGCAAAAGCACCTCGAGCTTTTGCTCTACGGTTCGTAACCTCAACTTCGATCCCACGGGCGCTAATATAGCTGTCCAGGTACTTGAATTCCTGAACGACTTCTAGCAGATCACCACAAAGCGGTAGCGCAGTGGTGGGTTCCTGCCAATCTTAGAGAAGTACTTTGCATTTCGATGGCGCAAAGCATAGCCCGAAACGATAGATATCCAGTGCTAATCGGCACACATGAGCCCAATACTGGCTATGAGAAACTCGCCGTATCATAACATGGCAAAATGGCTAGCGTCGATACTGGATCCTGTTGGAAAAGGATAGTCCCTCGTCATCTGAGCGACACGTTCCCATTTATCAAATGTGTCATAACATAAGCATACTGGACTATCGCATGCTTTTCCCGGACGTCGTAGTACTATTTACCAACGTGCGGCTATTAGAAACCGTAGATTTTCTTTGCTCCTTTGTTGACCGACTAAAGATAAGCATGGCGATCCCAACTGGTCAGGTCAGGCAACTTTTGCTCAGATGCACATACGTCCAGTTTCAGTTTAACAGTGAATTATACTGGCGGATAGATGGAGTAGCAATAGAATCGCCTTCCGGGATACTATTGGCAGATATCTACATGGGGATATTGGAAAATGAACCTTTGAAACCGGTCATTTCAACCTTCAAGTTCTATCGACGTTACGTAGACATTTTCTACATAGTGGATCGGAAGACTAACTTACAAAACGTCCTCCAACATTTCAACAGTGCACATCCCAATGCTTCATTTACAGCTGAAGAATAAAGCGACAACCGTCTGAACTTTTTGGATGTAAATCTAAAGAGGAGAGCCGACGAATCAATCCAGTTAGGACAGTACAGAGTGCCATATTGGACGTGGCAGTATATACATTTCCGTAGCCTTGTGCGAGTTTCGTGAAACGTATCACGGAGGCTATTTTGGGATCTGTTCATCGACGTATGACATCACTTGTCAAAGAGGTAGTGTCGAGGTACTGCATCAAATGAACTATCTCCACCGATTTATCTATTTGTCCTGCGGGGGTCGCGTGCGGTAACCGACTCAAGGCATCCGCCGTACAATTGTTAGAGCCTGGGATGTAAGATTTTGTATTCATACGCACTAAGGATTATGGCCCATCATTGCATTCTAGGGGAAAACATTTGATGGATTCCCTGGATTCACCCAATAAGGATATCAACGGTTTGTGATCAGTTTGGATCTCAAAATGACTGCTCTAAATATACTGGTGAAATTTCTTGACACCAAAGATAACTGATAGGACGTCTCGATCAAGTTGTGAGTAATTTTTCAGCCGGTTGTTAGGCACGTGAAGCAAAATCACTCGGATGAATTGCAGCATTCGGCATTTTATGACAGAAAATTGCTCTAACTCCGTATGGAGAAGCATTACACTAAATAATCAGAGGCTTTTTTCTATCGTAGTGAAGTAAAACTGGCGCTGATGCTAAACAGTTTTTAGCACGAATGAAAGCGAAATGATGCTCATCATTCCACACCCACGGGGTGTTTTTATGTAGCAGTGCGTTCAAAGGAGCTAAAATAGTTGATACCCGGTAAAAATCGACGATAGCGTGATAACATTTCTAAGAATGATCGGAGTTCATCAACATTCTTAGGCAGCGGTGCCCCTATACTTGGGGATACTTTATCTTGCACAACATGCAGACCTCTCTTCTCAAGTTGGTAGCCAAGATAAACAGATTCAGACAAAACTCACATTTAGATTTCCTCAGTTTCAATCCATTCGATTCCAAACGTTCCAACACCGTCCAAGTGTCTTTAAATGTTCAGCATCACTTCGTCCACAAACCAGGATATCATCCAAATAAGCAAAAGTAGAGGGTATGTCCTTCACGATGTCATCCACAATACGTTGGAAGATGCTGGGGGCGGAGCTTATTCCGAAATGAAGACGGATATACTGATATAGTCCAAGCTGTGTAATTATAGTGGTTAATTCGCGTGAGTCCTCATCAATTTCTACTTGATAATTTACGTGACTAAGATCAAGCTTAGAAAATTTGCGACCATCGGATAACATAGCATACAGATCTTCGATGCAGGGCAAAGTATACCTTTCCACCGTGGTAACTTGTTTGACAATTAACTTAGAGTCTCCTCAGATACGAACGGTACCGTCGGATTTGAGTACAGGAACAATTGGGGTACCCCACTCCGAGCGTTGTAAGGCATGATTTCGCCTTCGGATTGTAGCCGTTGTAGTTCTACTTCAATTTTTAGACGCATAGCGTACGGTAATGTTCGTGCTTTGAAAAACTTAGCATTAGTCTTCTTCCGTAGGTTGATGGATGCTTTGAAGTGTTCCAGCTTTCCCAACTTATTTTCGAATAAAGAAGAAAATTGGTTCAACTGATCGTTTAGACTGCTGTCATTGATCACGACCTCATGAATCTGCATCGTTTCTGGGAATTATCGGATCCAATTTTGCCCAAGAGGTTTGATCTTTTCCCGGGTACCACGATCAACGGTAGAGTTAATTCCCGCTCGCCGTGTCTGACTTTAACCATGCACTTTCCCAAGACCCTAACCGTATCTCCCGTGTAGGTTTGCGATTTGGAGTCACATGGTTGTAAGGGCGGCAGACTCTTAATTAAATCCTTGTTTATAATGGTAACTGCAGCTCCTGTATCCAGTTCCAAATCGATCGCTTCATTCTCGGTCATCAAACGAATGGTATATGGAGGGCACTTGTTGGGTGATGATAGGTAATCAAATAAACGGAATTTAGCTCGTTGTCTGGGTCTTTCAGAACATATTTCTCCGTAAGCGCCAGCTTATTATGGCGCCTCGTTGACTGAGCTTGGTTAGTGGGGCGGGTTTCGATCTGCACACGTGGGCTAAGTGGTCTGTTTTCCCACATTTTCGGCAGATGCTTTCTTTGTGGTGACACTCAGAAACAGGGGCATGTTGCATCCCGCAGCGATAGCACA